TTCCCCTGACTCAACCTTTCTGCTCCCTCATGACCTCTGCATCTCTCCTCTTCTTCCCTTCTCATTCTTGTAGCTCCCTCCCCCCTCTTCCCATGCTCTCAATTTGCTCAGGGGATCGTGACCCTTTCCCCTTCTCCAGGGGACAATGTTTGTCTATTTTAGGGCCCTCCTTGTTGACTAGCTTCTCTGGCAGTGTGGATTGTAGGCTGGCAATCCTTTACTCTATGTCTAACATCCACATATGAGTGAGTACGTATCATGTTTGTCTTTTTGTGACTGGGTTACCTCGCTCAGAATGGTTTCTTCTTGTTCCATCCATTTTCCTACAAATTTCAAGATTCCATTGTTTTTTTCGCCGAGTAGTACTCCATTGTGTAAATGTACCACATTTTCTCTATCCATTCTTCGGTTGAGGGGCATCTAGGCTGCTTCCAGTTTCTGGCTATTACAAATAGTGCTGCTATGAACATGGTTGAACATATGTCCTTGTTATATGAATGTGCTTCTTTTGGGTATATGGCTATGGCTACTCTTTAGAGCCTTTAATCATTACAATCACAAAAATGTGTTGGTGTGGACCCAGACCTGTGGTAGAAGTTTATCACATCTCCTAATTGTATGTTTTCTGGACCAAAAATTGTCAATGTATATGAACAGTGGGTTAGGTTTATCCATTTTTATGTTACTTAACTTGGCTGCAACAAACTTGAAGAAACTATAAAGAGAACTTTTAGAAATAGGATTACTTTAGGCTATAAGTATTTACCCAGTTTCTAAACTTAATCCACAAAAGGGAAAGTTCAGGTGTTAGCCTGTGCTAATGTGTGATGAGTTTCCCATGTAAAAGCTCACTCTTTGCCATAGACTTAAACTTCTCAAAATTAAGAAGCCTGTTTTCATTAAATACATCATATGTTTTATATAAAATGTTACATGTCTGGAAAACCTTCCATTTTATAGGACTGTGTGCTATGGCTTAGAGTTATGTTGCTTTATGAACCTTTTTATAGCACAGTAGGTCACCCTTCATTGTGCTTTATTTACCTAATCATTTTTTTTGCTTTGATGAATTTCACACATTGGAGCTATCCTCCTTGTTTTAAAAATATTAACATTTGCTTTTTCTGCCTAGTTTTTATGTAAACTCTAAATAAGATAAAGTAAAATATTTCATTTATAGACCCTCTAAAGTAGAGCATTTTCAAAGCAGGTAGCTGTCTCCACCCTGCTTTTCATGAAGCGTTTTACCCATTCAAGCAGACTTTTAAAAACAGCTTGTTTTGATAGCAGACTGTTCTCCTGTGGGCCTTCAGCCTTTGCTTCCTGGCAGCACCTTTGGTGCGAAAAGAGAGTGATCAATTGGGAGACTATCAGTGCCAGCATGCATAGAGTGATAAGTTAACACACCACTGGGAATTTCTAGGGCCCACCAAGATACTTCACTTCTAATGTGCTAACAAGCTCACTTTTCTACCTCTTGCCTCTTCAGTTATTTTTTTTCTCAGAAGAGCTTAGAAGTTGAGTGCATCAGGCATAATGAAAAGCTCTGTAGGAGGGAGAAGCAATAACCCCATTTTTCCCTTTTCAGCCAAATAGAAAATTAGTTTCTGGTAATACACAAAGGCCAGTATTTTTTGTACAAGGGGCACTGCTGTGAATCAAAGGACTCTATTAACTGCAGAAAATTCGGCAGCTGTGAATCTCCCCCAATGAAAAAAGTACTTTCCAACAAGTTGTGAGATATGTGGTATTATTTAGATTGAACAGTCAGTTCCATCCTCTTCCATTTAGAACCATATATCTTCTTTTTAAACATGCTATGTTACTTTTCTATGTTAAATTTGTCTCATAAATGTCTGCTGTCTGTCTATAAAATCCTTCCTTACCACAAATCACTTTAATACATCTTACCCTGTTGCTACCTATTTCAGAAGTAAAATTCTTTTGGAGTTCAACCACAATGTACAGAATTGAAAATAATAAATTATAAAGAGGTAGCATCCAGGTTATTTCAATGTTTGATGCAAAACCATAAATTGTAATCTAAGAAGCTAGGATACAAACCATCAAAAAGGCAAATGATCCACCTAAGTCCCAATGGCAGTCTGGCCTCTAACTAGCAAGCTTTTTGCCACCTCTTAATAAACTTTTGTAAATGTACCTGACCATAGTATCACCCACTGAATTATCAGTTTAAATTAGCTCCCAAATGATTTTTCCTAGTTTGAGCTGTAATTCCTAGAATTATAGAAGTAAAATATTGAACTGTAATTTTTAAAAGAGAATAACAAATTTAAGATGGAAATACTAAAATGACTTTTAGGGAGAGAAGAATCAATGGAAAAAGAAAAACCAATGGGTGAGTTTTCACTCTCCCTATGTAAATGTCCTGTGAGCGTTTTCATTGTCTTTGTTTAAATGTCCACATCACACATCAAGTACAGCAGGAGAACTTAAAACCTGAAGAAGAAACGTTAGGTGGTTTCTCAGTTCAGGAACTGTACGACACGAAGTCGGCATGTGCTTTTTCCTGATAATTGTCTGTTGCTGCCTGCTGCTCTACACTTTTGACAGCCATTTCCATAGTTGCTTTCATGAACAACAGAAATATTCTCTCCCTTTCTTGCCCTTTCTATGCTAACAGCACAATCAGACCTGCTGAAACAGGAAGCCTGGAGTGGGGTTGTTCAAAAGCAACAACACTTCAAGGTACTGGTTGCTTGTCAATAATATCAGGGAATAATATGTGGTGAGAGCGAAGTACAGTCTCTCTCTGTCAGTGTCAGTGCCCTGTCGATGCTTTGTTGGACAGTATTTAGGAGCCCCGTGGACTCTTTGCAAATATTCCTGCTTGTTTCAGTGTTGTAATTGATGGGGTATTTTTTTACTGACACACAGATTCAGCTATGCATTTATCTTAACTGCATGGAGTTATTTGAGGATTATAACAACACTAGTCTTTCATTCAGAATGAGGACAATTGTTGAGAAAATACAGAGATTTTAACAATGAACAAGATATGTAGGAATTTCACAATAAGTCTTTACAAATAAAAAACTGAGAATTTGAGACATAATATTTTAAGCGCAGTATTATTTTATTGAATGACTTTTGAGAATAAATCTACAGATGAAAGTTGATTAATAAGAAGGGTCCAGACTGAGCAGCTAACAGTTGAATCTTTTCTCAAACTGTTCTAATAATAAATCGGTATTGTAATTATTCTCTAGCAAATTCCTGTTAAACTGTCACTTGTCATGAAGTCAAGAGAAATAAACCTATGACTAAAAAAGGCACTTTTAATGATGTGTAAGAACAGGGAACAGTTCACCAAGGGAGGCTGTGCTGTTGTGGTCCTCTCATAAATGTGCTTGCACACTGCATCCCAGTTCTCCCTTAACAGAAGGCAATCAGCTATGAGGAGAGAGCACGGTACCTGCAAACAATTGTCCAGCACCATTTGGAACCAACAACATTTGAAGACTTTGCAGCACAGGTTTTCTCTCCAGCACCCTACCATCACTTCCCTCCTGATTCAGGTAGGAGTAAAGGAAAGTATTGGTTGCTTGTCGTGAACTCAGAATGCAATACCCTTTTCCTCTAAATCTTGATTGCATAAAATTCTGGTCATTGAAATATATTATTTATGACTGTTTGAGTTTGGCCTGTAAATTTATTTTCTTTTATCTGACTGTGGTTCTTTTAAAAACCCAGTAACCTTCATAAAAGTACATGGTCCACATCACAGTCACTGGCTCTTGGATTTCATGAGATTCTGAAGCATAGGGAACTCTCTTGACTTCAGAGGATCAAATTTTACAGATATGGTGTCATCATCTCTAATGTTATAAATAAAGCTAACTCAGTTTAGATCTAGAAGCACTTAGTACAGCAAATTATGCTATAATATTTGAAGATTTTTAAGAGGGTACTGCATTAATACAATTAACTAATTTTAAAGAAATCAGAAAAAAATTACTCATGGCCTTCCTATTCTGTAATATCTTGCACTCCTTATGATTGTTTCATTTATTTTATTTTCCCTCTTTAGATCATTAAGTATCAGTTCTGTTTATCTGAAGGTAAGACAAAGTGTCAACCAAAGCATCTTCTGTTCTTCTCCCATTTCCTTTTTCCAAAACTAGCAAGCTCTGTGCTTGTAACTCAGACAGTAAGCAGACTTAACACTGCCCTGGTTCATACTAAACATTTCAAAAGTTGTCACTAAATTTTTTCCAGAATTATACTAACTAACCCAGGTCTGCATGAAACACTAACATGGTTTGGGGATAAAGTAACTAATGATAGGACTCCTTGACTGAAACTTGTTATACCCTGTTATATTGACTTCTTTTGTTTGTTTGTTTCTCAGCATGAAAAGTAGCTCTATTGAACTGACATCATGTGTCTTTGTATTTTTGCAATACTTTCTATTGTTACCAGATATCTGAACTCATTGTTGGCACTGCACTAGGCACCTGAAATCCAGCAATGAGTGTTGTGGTGATGTCTAAGGGAAGCAGAAAGAGCATAATAGGAATTTTGCCACAATAAAGTACTTCTCATTCTCATTGCATCAAATATATATATATATATATCTTTATATCAGAAAAATTTAAATACACAACAGTTTTTTAACTCATCTATTTTTATTCTATGTTATAGAATTATAATTCTCAGTTGAGGTTTCATTAATGAAATTAAAGCTTTCCTTCCAGTAAAAATTAATTTGCCATCAGAAAAATAATTTTACCAAAGAACTTAGAAGCCTTTCAACTAAAAGACCCAACAAAGGGAAAACATGTCATGCGAGGTTAAATCTTTTGAAAATAATACAAAAAGTGTAAGACTCACTTTCATAGATGGACACTATATATAAAAGTGATCAGTTTGGCATTAAGATGAAAAGGTGAAAAAAGGAAAGGTATCCAAGATGAATTAGGGCATTGGCATTGTCAGCTACAGAGATCATCTGATAAGATGTAAGGCTAGAGTAAAGTGATAGAAATAATACTGTTGTCTCATGTAGTCAACAAGTTCCGTGATCGGGAAATACTGATAGACTGGGCTCCATACTGGGCTCACTGTCCACTTCTGCTTACAAATGCTGTTCCATTCCTGTTGCTGTTCACCAGATAGAATCTTTAGTATTTGTCATCTGAAAGTTCTTTTCACATTTTGTATATTTTTCTGCACATTCAGCAGATAGACCCATAGAAGTAAGTTATAGCACAGGGTATTGTTACAGTAGCCATCAAGGCTCTGTTGGCTTCATTTTTAATGTGTTAATGTTCTTATGAGTTTATTCAACACGATACTTGATGTGATTGTTATCTAAAGAGTAATTAAAAACATGCAGATATTCTTTGTAGCCAACCCTGTAATATACTTTATTTAGACTTGAAATAGTATTGAGAACTATATTCATAGGGGGCTGGAAGGATAGCCCAGTGGTAGAATGTATGTTTACCAGACTCAGACCCTGGCTGAGCTCATTCCCTACCTGGGGGGAAGGGAGGTAATATCTGTATTTATATAATTCAGTTCATCTAAAATTTCCTGGTTAACAGTAATCGGCTAATAGTGATGACATTTAAATCTAAAATTTTTTTCATGTAACTTTATTTAAATAGATGTAAAAGATTTCAGTGTACCATAATTCATCCATAAATTTCATAACTGTGTTTTCTCTCATGTACTGTCTGTGGCACTAGACTGATAACTTAAGGGAAATTATTTTTATCCCTAAGGTCATTGAGGGAAATACTGTGATGTCACACAGTGTTGATCTTCCATAACTACATTAAAACATGATTAAATTTTTCTTGTCCTTTATTTTTTTAAAGAAAAGTTACAGGAAATTTTGTTTTATCTTTGTCAGGCATGAATGTGGAAAATGTCAAGTTTTATATAATATGCATACATACATACATACACACACACACACACACACACACACACA